TGGGGAAGGGCAGCATCTTTCCAATGGTGAAAAGAAAAACCTCGCTGAGATTGAGTAGTGATGTGGAGGAAATACCAGCTTGAACGTCAGATCTGGGAGCTGTTTAAGTGAAATATCATTCAAAGGCTAAAAAGCTCTGAGATCAGCAGTGTTAAGTAACATCCACATCTTCAGATTATCCCAGTTTGAAATAAAAGCACCTACTTATTGCTATTAACACTCGAGAGTAATGCCCCCACTACTACCAGTCACCATGCTTTGCACAAGACTGGGTGGCCAACTTCCCACCCAGGAGTGCCAGTGAACTGCCCATCTCAGGACTCAAAGCAGTTTTCTTCTTCTCTGACCTGAAGACATCCATGAAGACATGGTTTGGGTGGCATCCTAACCTACAGTTTAGTCCTCTGTGCCCCTCGATGACACAGTCCTTCTGGAGCCTTTCCCATGGCCTCATCATGGGGTGGTTTTCCCAGCTCAGCCCTACACTAACACCTTATTCTCCCAAAGGCAGGAACATTTCCTGGTGCTGAGTGGTGCCCAGCATCCCCTAAAGCTCTGCTCCTCCTTGTCACCACATCTATGAGTACACGAGAGAGGGGGTCCTTCTTCATCCAGCACAGCAGAGACCTCCAGCTGTAAGGCTCACCCCTTCTGCATCCAGTCTCCGAGCTGGCACCAGTATTTTTGGACGGGTGATGAATAGGTGAGTTGGGAGTGTTACACAGTTAAATCTAACAAATGTCTGTGGATTGCAAACACGCACATAAAGAAGTTAGGAGAAAAATTCAAAGGTCAAAACGCAGTATCACGGGATCTCTCAACAGCCAGAGCTCTCACTAATATTCCTCCATTTATCTGTTCTGTCCATTTTTCCCTGTCTGAAGAGGAAGGAAATGAGAAACTGGAAATCCAGAAGAATTTCCCAAACTTTCTGAAAAATAGACCAGTTCCTGTTTTCCTCCAGGTCTGGTCTAGAAACATGGGAAACTAGGAAAAACTGGAGAGAGAAAAAAAAAAAAAAAAAAGAGAAAAAAAAGAAAAAAAAAAAGCTTTGTCAAATACTTTTCTAAAAATAAACAGTGAAATACTGTCAGGCTACTGTTTAAAATCCTATTATTTCTGCTGTGCTTCAGTTCTTCCCAATGTTCTCTAAATAATATGCATTTCAAATGAAATTACATTATTTTAAAACACACTGTAGTAGGCAATTACAATTCCTGAATACTAAATGCCAATATAACATAGAGCAAATTTATTGTTGTTTCTTAACTTTGTGCCATGTTCATTATATTTTAATGAATAAGGTTTCACATTAATTTTTCAAGCCTTTTCCTCAGAATCACGTATTACTTCAGTAATTGCGTTACAGAAATAGGTCTCTATTCACATTCTCCTCCTGTGTCCTAGAGACAAAACCTTGCTTTGATTTTCCCTAAGTCAGCAACACCACTTCTTCTTCCTGGTTTTGGGAGAGCTGCACTACGTTGTCCAGTGACAACCAGTGCCCACACCACAGCATCCAACCTGCTAACCCTATGAGATGCCAGCAGAGGTGCCACCAGCCCTGGGCAAGCAAGGTCTGGGGGCACCAGAGCAGTGTCCATGAGTCTGGTTGCACCTGAGGACCCCTCACTGAAAGTCAACCTTCACCTGCACAAGGGATGGTGGTACCATCCCTCTATGGCTGTGTTCATCACCTCCATTTTCCCTTTTTTCTCTCGCCTCTGTTCCCATCTGGGGAGATGCAGCCCACCTAAATGGTCTTTTCTAACGTGTTGTCAGCACACCCGAACAAATGCTGATATCGCTTATCCTCAAAAACCCTGGTGAAAGCATCCTAAGAAGCAGTTCTTCACCAGTACGACAGCAGATCCAGCACCTGTCTGCCACGCCAGACGATTTCTGTATTGCTTAAAGGAATGACACAGCCAAACCAAGTAGCACAAACTGCCAGAGAGACACCAGTAATTCCTCTTACGCTGCAGCTAAAAGGCAGGACTTTTCCCCAGAAAATCTTCAGCCCTTTTACTGCATAACCACTCATCAGTCCTCAATGGAAAAGAAAGAGGAAAGAAAACAGGAGTAACAAAACTGGGGGGAGAGAACATGAAGGAAGCAGACAAAATGAGGGTACCATGTCCAGGAGGTGAGGCTACCACACCACACCGTGCTTTCCGCTTAGGATAAGTCACTCTATTTCCCACCTGGGACAGAGACAAAGGTTGGGAAGAAACCGAGCAGATTTCAGCAGAAATACAGACGCCAGCCAGTCAGCGGGCCCCGCTTGCCAGCTGTCGTCTTCCAAGGGACAGATTCGATTTCCCGTTGTCCACATCACCAGCAGCTCAGCTCGGCAGCTGGTCACGCTGCTCCGTGTGAGGATGCCAGGCAGAACCGAGAGCAAGGGATGTCTTTCCTCCGTGTACGTGCGCTGGTTAATTCTGCATGCTTGCAACACTTTAATTATTAATGTTGATAAACTATAGGAAATCTCATTCAATTAGAATTACTGGGATTCTTCCCTCGGAGATAAAATGAAGTTGCTTTATTGCAAGATCACTCTGCCCTTGTTGTTTTTTCTGTGCAGTTATGAAGAGCACAGAAATTAAGTCCTGGCTCCTGGGACGTTGCTTGTGGACACATGCTCGGGGTCTACTCGCTATGCTGCTCCAGCAGGTCAGGCTTTTGTCCTCGCCACTCCTGGTTTCCACCTCCCCCTCCTCTTTACAAGCGCTATCCTCTTAATTCCCTCCCATTTCAGAGTCTCACCCATTCCCTTGATTCACCCCCACAAGAGCGGGGGCTTTGACATACGTAACCCTTCCCTCACATCCCACTTCTCCATGCCAGAGCTTGCTACATCCTCTTCTCTCTCTGCCGTGCCAATTCTAAGGCTCTACCACCTCCCACCCCCCACTGTGGCAATGATAAATCCCCCTTCACCTCCTCCCTCCCCGCCGAGGTGCTGTGATGCCCAGGTGCTCCCCGCTGGCTCAGCCCCGCTGCTCCAGGTCCTTCCCACACACTGCAGCTCCCCACAGCACAGGCCCCCTTACACCCCCTCATTTTCCTTCCTCTTGATGATTTTCCCCTAAATCCACCAGGTTCTGCTCACCGTGACGCCCTGCGCTTCCCTCGATGCTCCAGGATTGAGGTTTGAACTCTGCACCAGCATTGTTCCACAGCACAGATTTTTATCCGATCGAGCAGAAAAAGCCTTGCAAGCTTTGCCAATTACCACTACTCCCACGATTTCTTCCACGACATGCATCTGCTTGCAGTGGATGGGGAGGTGCCCCCAATTGTTGTCCAGAGGGCTTTCTGGAGTGCTGTCAGCCTGCTGAGAGTGCCAAGCTCTCTCTGACAGCTGCATCTAACTCCCACTGATGCTGTTTTCTTCAAGTTGGCCACCCTGAAGTGTTTTGCCTGCGCTTGGAGTCAACAGATAGACACAAAGCAAGACATATTCGCCAAGCACTTAAATATGAGGTAGGACTTAGAGATGATAGATTTCTAAATTTAAATGGAAATTTAAAAAATAAATAAGTGGGGGTGTGGGGAGGATGCTAAAGATCCTGTTTTCTGTATTGCATACAGTGAAACAAACAAAATAAAACAAAACAAAACAAAAAACAAACCTGAAATATCCATAGGTTGCTTATTTACTAAAACACAACCATACATACTTGAAGAGAGAGAGAAGTATCATGCATAATTTACTTGGCATATGGAAAGTACTGTTGTGTATGTCACGTGTGAAATAAATAAGCATAAAGTACTTAATTTGAATAACACCAAACACCTGATTCCAGAGGCTGAGCAACACTTCACGCTAAGGCATGCAAGTGCTCTTGGCTTGTTGACGTTTCACCAGAACACAGGAAAATTAGCAAGTTGAAAGCAGAAATTCATACTGCGGCTTGCAGACAAACATTCATGGTGAATCCACGGGGCTCATAAAAACTGAGCCCTGATGATATGAAATAGCTACAGACGAGGCTCCCAGTACTACAGAAAAGGCTGAGAAATTGCACCTACGATCCCAATGTGCGTTCTGTACAATGTCCATCACACAACATCCAGTATTAAGAACAGCAAGCTGGGCTGCACGTATTTTCTTACATTTGACTCTGCAGTTTCTCCCCAAAAATTCATAATAGAGCTCAGGGAAAAAAAAAAAAATTCCCTGCCCATCACTCTAACTGTACTGTAAACATGTGATTGGAAAGCTTCTGTCCTAATAAAAAAATTCCCTGAAGACCCTCCTGTTAACTGCAAAATCCATTCTGTATGGAAATGCACATAGCATTTGCCTTCTGCCAACAAGACATCTAGGTAGTATTCAGAAAACTGTAAATAATTCATTTGTGCTGTAATCAAAATGTTCAGATTTTTACAGGTATCATAGCTTATCGCCTTTCTCACAAGGTGTTTTGATTAGTAACAAATAATTTATCTTCCAGGTGCTAATTGCTCTGGTTCAGGTTTGAGCTGTGCTTCCGTCCTCTACTGAAACTGGAGGACAAGAAGAGTGAAGAACCTTCTGTAACGCAGACAGAATGAGCTCTGCTTTAATTTGTGACTATATATCCCTCATTTATTGAAACACTCAGCTTTTTTTTTTGCCAGCCCATCTCCAAACGGGCAATGCAATGAAATGAGACAGAACACCAGTATGTCAGACATTTACAAGTCTGGCCAAGCTGTGAGGTGCTCTCAAGTGCAACATGAAATAAAGCACCCCTCACCTTTAGAAATGAGAGCAGTGGGTGCAAACGAGTTGTAGCCATTGCTATGAGACCGCGCAAGACTTCTTTCCTCCTATGGATTCACAGCTTCAGCTTCCCAACCAGCCGTGGAGCATAAACATGACTAAAATCAGCTTCCAGTGCAGTAACACACGTGTCCCTTTGTCACCCCTCTGTACAACCAGTTAACAAAAGTGGCTTTGCTTTACCTCGAGGAAAGAAACCCAAACATCATAGCAACCTTGCACTTACTGAGTTCGGCGATGCTCCCCACACGCGTAGCCAGTAAAGACTGCTCGATGGTCCTCAGCTCTGACTGGCTGAACATCTGCACTTCCCCGGGCTTGTTTGATCGCTGCTGGTCTTTGTGAAGGTTCAAGCTGTCCGGCAGGCAGAGGACACCTACAGTGAATTAAGAAAAAAAGAGAAGTCCCATGTAATTTCAGCCACTATTGCTGTCACCACCGCCGCATCCTTCTGGGGACATTCCAAGAGGCAGCCCATGTGTGCAGAGCTCAAAGACAATAAACATTTATAAGTCACTGTCACAGATGACTCATGCTCTCAGAAGTGACCCTCATTAACTCTTCTGAATATCCTCAAGTCCCTCATGATGTCACCTAGGGATAATTATTACAGAAAATCCCAAAGAACTGTCCAAGGCGGAGGTCAAGAGGCTTCTGAAGAAGCCTTCGAGAAACTACTCCAAAACCATAGGAGTTTAATGAAAAATGGCATCTCAGCAGCACAGTTCTTACAGATTGACTTTAAAATGGGGTATGAAAAGGATGATACGTTTATAGGATTTTCCTACACAGGGAATTCCAGCAACAACTGCCAAAATAATGGGTGGTGTCAAGGTGCTTGCAGTGTCATTGATGAGTCTACTGCATGTCTTTCGTAAATACAACTCCTCACAACTGAACTGCATGAGCTTCGAAAGCCCACTGCGCAGAAGCCCTCAGAGCACCGAATCTTTGTAGGGGAGGGCATAAGCAAAGCTACTGATGTTAAAAAAAAAAAAAAAAAAAACAACTTATGTTGCACATATCCATGCAGAAACAAGTCACTTTTTTGCCACGGTATCAAACCCCTCAGGCGCAGACAGAGGGCACACGTTTATTAATCAAAATTGCTGTCATGTTACAAAACAGAACTTATGTACAGGAGCAAACGGCTCATTACCATCCTTGGGTAACAGATGAATTGAAGTCCAGCTTGGACAGCAAGCTCTCCTCCCTTCCCAAGGCCTCTGAACGGGCAGCTATGGCCATGCTTGTCCACAGCTTCACCTCCAAATCCCTCTGGGACGCACACAGGTGGAGACTCACAGGAGGCAGTGGGATTGCACCTCTTTATGGCAACTAAATTCCATCCTATCTCTAACTCTGGGATTTATGATTTGCTTTCAAAAGGAGATAGAATAGGAAATGTATTTTTTTTTCAATTAGTTTTACTATTCATTCCTTTTAAGTGTGAGGGAGAAGTTTTACCCTCCCTAGCTGAGCAAACACTTCACAAAATACCTTTACAAAATGCCTTAAGAAGGAGGTGCATGTCTGGTGCCTTCAGAGGGAAGAACTTGCTGAGTTTCCCAGCTCAGAAAGCAACTGGCGTCTAACCCCACTCACCAATGCTCTGCCAATAGGTATAAAACACCTTGTTTCCTCCACCAGCCTCACCTCCATCACCTCCCTGCCTGCAAAGAGTCTTGTCTAAAAGTCCTGCTTGCAGCACAGACCTAAAAACACCCATCCTGGGAGAAAAGAGGCAACACAGGCTCAGTGTGCATGATCAAACCGAAAAGCAGAGGGTACACACTGGAGAAACTGGGACCGAAGGTGTTGTGTACCATGGCCGTAAGACAGCAAGCTAACCAGGCTCTCCCTCCTCACATGACAGCAACACCAGGGCAAATTCCCTGCTTGAACACCAGGGATGGAAGAGCAGCAGTGGCCGTAATCCCAACCCTGGCTCCAGGCCCAGGGTTGTAGCAACCCCGGGCAAACCCCATGCACGTGTGGAGGGTCGCAGGAGAGGAGTACGGCTTGCGGGGAGCACCCCAGAGAGAAAGGGATGGACATCTGACACAGCAACAGATGAAAGAATTGAAAGCACAGAGGTGAAGGATAAAAAGGGACAGCAACCAAAAGCTAGCAAACAAGCCTTCCAAGTTCTCTTGGGATCGCCTGGCATCTGCCTTGCATTTCCCATTTAGTGTGCCAATCGGCATTTGTATTCCACGCACGTCCAGAGCTCGAGATGCGCAACACCTGGATCGAAAAATGCAGACTTGCCGGCGTATTTTAATAAGATTTCTCTCTCGGAAATATTTCTCATTTATTTAGATTGCTCTTCATAATTTTAATGGATAGAAATTAAGGCAAAATTGGAAGAGCCTTCCCTGCAGAAAACAGATGTGTAAATGATCTGCTCTAGGAGACTTCTGAAAAGTACAAATAGCTTTATGCCATCTTTAAAAAAAAAAATAAAATGAATATCCAGCAGGAAAATATTCTTCAGCGAAAACACACCTTAAATGTGGAAAAAAACACTCTTTTAAGATACCTTAAAAATAAAACTTAAATGGTTTTAAAAAACGTAGGATGCAGAGGAGATGTCTCTGAGTGATGAAAGCTGTGGCACATAGACATTTCATTCTCTATTTTGTCTCTGACTCCGTTCCCACAGCCAGGCTTTCCCTTACAAACAGCCCTGATGATTAATTACTCTGTTCTTTAGCGAGGGGAGGGTATTCTTAGGCTTTCAGAAGAAAAGTGCAAATGAAACGCAAAATGTGCCATTGTTAGAAAACTTAGCAAATTATAGGATATGTCACGCCAAAGGGTTTTTGTTTTTTTTTTACTTGGGGTTGAGATCAGTAAAACCATGCAATAGCCAAACATCTGATACTTACACAGCAGCTTCACAACTCTAATTGACCGCAGCGGGTGACCCGTGGTGCGTTGGAAGATTGTTTACAATTCTCATCATTTTGCTTCACGGGATCTGGTTTTTGCCAGTATGGAGAAAGGGAATTGCATGGCTCGGGCACACAGCTCTGCCCCTCTTCTAGCTTCAACCGTTCTCCTTGAAAACAATCACTAATGTCACTAAAATGCTTTTTTTGGAAGGAAGAGTTGCTCTGTTTTTTCAGTATTTCCTGTAAAGCTCAAACGTGCTGATGGAAGAGTACGGAAGGGAATTGCTCCCCCGCAAGCAGAGAGGGAGCTTGGTGAGTCAAAGAGGGAGGGGGAAAAGGTAAAAACTTTATGATTATAATATGTCTTCTTTATAAGTAGAAACAAACCAGCTTTCACTGGTTTGGCTACAGTTCAATTTCCTTATTTTAATTCCCTGCTGACTGGCATTATTCACTTGTCAGCCACGGCTTCGCTGCATTATACTTGACACGCAGGTAAGGATCTCACGTTTCCAACGGCCTGGAAAGCAGAACTTTCTTCCCTTGCTTTTTTTGCTCTCTCGACTGTTGCTGCTGATGCTATTTGTCATTCCTAAACAAAGATTTCTGCACAGTATCTTCAGGAATAAGCTGCAGTATCTGTCTTTTCTCTCGCCTGGCACTGCTAAATGTCCTTCCTTTCTGCACAGTTACTCAGCCCTGCGCGCTTCTTTGCCCAATATTTTATCCCTCATCTTCCCTCCAATTCACTCGAGGGGAAATCAGGCAGGCAGTTGTTGCAGGATGAATGCGGGGCCAGACTCGCTCGACATGCCCCTGGCTGCTCTGTGCCCCGCCGTGATGTATGGCAGCCATACGTTGCGTTTATGACTGCTATGAATCACTGGAGCAATGGGAAACAACCAAAGCACTCCTGTGTATTTGGCTTTTGCCACCTTTTTGGGTGCTTTCTGTAACCTCGGCTGTCAGAGCCTTGGGGCAGGTATCTGTCTGAAAGGAGACACACTGAGAATGGGCCAAACCCAGAGTTTGCTTTAGGAGCCGCTGTTTGCAGTTTGCCCTTGGCCTCATCCTGCCCTGCTGTCTGTAGGTAACAGACTGAGGAGAAACACAGTGAAAATACTTTAAAATCAGCAGCAAGCCAAAGAACGTAGTGACAAGCTCCTAATGCTCCCCTCCCAAATCTCTAGGGGAAAAAAAAAAAAAAACAACAACAACAAAAAATAAACATCGCAGGGCAGATCTGATGTACGGTTAATAGACTCCACATTTTTCCTGCCCTCTGGGCTCATTAGAAACACAAGCTAGAGCTCAGTCCCCAAAGACTTACAAATCCCAAACCGAAGAAGTATTGCGCAAAATGACAAAGTTACGATTGAAGATGCCCCAACTTGTAAAATAAGCAATTGTTTTAAATCCTCACTGCAAATTCTTCTGAAGCCAGGGCTTCCTGGTAACTCTGTTTTGGTTTCCCCACGCACATTCCCAGCTCTTGTGCCGGGCTGATACACCACCCTCCATCACAAGGCAGATTTTGGCACAAATACACACACATTCCTGCACGCCCTTTTCGGAGCTTGCCACGGAGCTGCCTGTGCAGTCCTTGCAGCGTGGCAGAAATGAGCAAATACCCCACAAACACCCCAAATTCAGTGCTGGGCAGCAGAGGACAGAACTCGTCCCAGCTCCCTGGAAAAAAAAAAGCCTGCAGGATCTGATGGCCCAGAGCAACCCCAATACTGGACACCACGTTGGCTATGCAACCTCTTCAGCTTGCAGGGCAGGAGAAAGAAGGTGTCCACAGCCCAAATTTCACCTAAATATAGAGGAATCATCAAAAAAATCTTAGCCTCCTCCACTCTTCTTCTATTATATCTGCATTTATTTGTATTCCAGCTGTTGCAATTGTTGTAAAATAGCAGATTCCTGAAGTGCTGGCCCCTACGTTGCCCATATGCCAGGACTGGCAAGCAGACTTGCCAGTCTTGCCAGTCAGTTTAGTCCTTGACTAAAAATATAAGCACTGTAAAGACTACAAAGCATTTGTCTTACATTTTGGAATTACTATTTTTTTCCTTTGGAAAGACTATCACATTTTTCTCGATATATTAATTTACAATCTGGATAGAAACTTGAAGGTTTTGCTGCTCTATTTTTTTTCCTCTTGAATGAAGGGCTCCTATTTTCAGGAGAAAATATTTCAAAGTATCTTTGACATCCCTCTTTATCTATCTATTACATCTTAAGCAAACGTACATATCTGGAAAATAGTTTAAACTCCCACTGCAAGGAGTAGCTGGATTCTTCTAAGAGTTTATAGAGATTAAGTGTGCAGGGCAGATATCAGGCAAATTGCTCTACAAAATGAGCCTGAAAACGGTAGTTAACCCTGAACAGCCCTCAAAACGTGCTGCTGCACATCTCTCCAGTGAATTCAGGGGCAGCTACATTCTCCAGCTACACTCAGGGGCAGCTACAT